ATGTGGTTGCTCTAAGAATCAAATAACATTATTTCTGTGGAAGCATTTAACCCATAAATACTGTAAAATCATCAAAGGCATCTAAGAACATGTATGTTATAGTTATAACACCGTACATCTTGCAGAATAATCCAGAGATCAGGAAATCCTTAACAGGATCATCTGGCTAGGCTGGTTATCCTCTCATCTGTTACTGACTTGTTGGCTGACCTCTTTATTGGAGAGACCATCTTCTGGGGACATCAGTGTCTCACAGAGGTATAAGAAAAGTTAAGTAACATCGATGAAGTTTCCTGAGATCTTCAAAGTTCTGCCTCACACCAAAATATGTTAGTTGTCCCTGAAGCCACAGATGTTTTGTAAATGCAGCCTGTCCCCCAGTAGGCAGTCCCTCCCCCCAGCCAGCCTCACAGTCCAAGCTGGTCACCAGGATTGCACCCTCAGAACTGGAGGAAGGCTGGCAGGCAGTCCCCCAGCCTTATCTCAGGGGTGTAGGCCTCCCTTCATCTACACCTCTCTGGTAGAGAGCAGACTCGTCAGCCGGTGAAAGCTGTCTGAGCGCCCTTCCATTCTTGCTGCTGAACCTTTCCCGTTTTCTATTCCCACCTTGATGTTCTCCATTCAGGCACTCCTTCTCCTTTCTTCGCCAGAGGCCCCCTTCCCCTATCCATACTCTCCTCTTCCTTCCCTGCCATCTGCCCTCTTCCCAAACTCCCAGTCTTAGTTTTCTGGTCCCTCAGTGGACTCATCTGAAGAGGAGGGTGTTGTGCTTAGAGCAGATGATGGAGAGGCCATCAAGCAGAATGGGAGAGACAGGTGGGAACATCGCTTCCGAAAAACATCCCAGTAACAGCATTCACTGTGCTTTCTGCAAGCCAGGAGAAGCCTGGTTAGAATGAGAAAGAATCAGCAGAATAAACAGGTTCTTGCTCAGCCCCCACTACAGGAGTGACTATTTAGAATTGAGGTGTCTCGCCCAGTCGCGTATCTTTTACTTGAACTTTGGGCAGATCCTCTGTATCTATGAACCTAACAGGATGTCTCTTCCCTTTTTTCTTCCTCACTTGTCAGTCTTGGTAGAGTGTCAGTGCTGGTCCACAAGAAGGAGTTTAAAAGAGGCTCTTTGGAGAACAGGCATCAAAAACGAGAAAAGTATATGTGTTTGCCACTTCCCCCACACCACTGGAATCGTAAAGGACACTGCCACCCCCTAGGTTTCTCCCCTTGCTGTGCGGTTTCTTGGGCTCCAGAGCTCAGTTGTCACCTGCTCAGAACCCCTCTGTCAAAGCTACTTACTGATGTTTTATTCATGGTATCACTTCTTTGATTAGCATATGTAATTGAGAGCAGACAATACCCTTAACTCTGAATCCTATAGCTGCAACGTAATCACTTGCTTTATTGATAAGCTGAAAGTTTTGTGTGTGTTTTTTTTTTAAATCCTGGGTTGGCTTCCCCATGTAATGCAAGTTATTTCTCAATTGATTTCATTTATCATCAGTTCCTTTCTACTGAAAAGAATGGTTGATTTTTTTTTTCCCTTCAAATGATCACATTCTCTGTGCTAAGTGCTTTATCTCTTTAATTTTCAAAATGCCTTCACAAGTCAGGTACTTCTGTATTATTCTCAAGTTACAGATAAGGAAACTGAGGCTTATAGAGGTTAAGTAACATACCCAAGCCACTCAGCCAAGGAAATGGAATTCATATCTTACTCCCATATCTGTATAGCCCAAAATGGAGCAGTTTAAAGTGAAGGGGCTTATATGAGCTTCTCCCTTATGTTATAATTCTCGTGTCTGCTTTGGACTTTGTGTCTCTTCCTAACGCATCCAAGGACTTGCCATTCCTGGCCAGAGGCTCAGACCTGAAAAGCCATCCACTCCCACTCATTTTAACTCTTCATTTCTCCACATTGAAAGCAACAGTTAGCAAACCTCCTCTGTCTTATGTATAATGTTGAAAGCCCTCTTAGGGTCCCTATAAACAATATGCAGGAAAAGAACAAGGAGGAAAAACACTAACATTTCTACTGAGGGATACTGTTTCAAATCCGCACACATATATAAATGAAAGCTGTGGCTGCCTGATTAATCTGAAAATAAGCCCCATTTAGTAAGACAGTTCTTGAAATACCAATGTTCTACCAACACAGCGCCTTAATAATTATAGAGAGCGTTTTCCTTTAAGGAGCTCCCAAGTGCTTTGCAAACATTTTTCCTCATTAACTATCATACCATTTTCTGTGGCAGGGAAGGGAACAGGGTATTTTGTCCTATTTAAAATGTGGGACTGCTAATGCAGTGAGTGATGGAAGCAGTCTGCCCTCAGGTCATGTGATGACAAGGCCTAGACTAGAGTCCTCAGGGGTTGTGGGTCAGGATGGGCAGAAGGCCACTAAGTCTGCAAAGGGCTACGGCAAGGGCTTGGTCCAGCTCCTCACTTTCAGAAGGGGAAATGAACTCAGGGAGACTTGGAAAAGCCCAGGGTCACACAGATAATTAGCAGCTGAACCAATACTACGTGCGTGCAAACAACATACAGATGTATGCTACGAAGGGAAAGATAACTACTGTGAAGAATCAATTTATAGTCAGATTAGAAGGTTGTGAAAGCAAAAAGCCTTCAGAGTGACCTTGCCTAGAGGAAAAACACACTGTAAAAAGGTGAAAGTTTCAAGCAGCGAGAGCATTTTAACATAAAGTTTCAACTTTCTAGCAGCCAAAATAGCATCTGGAACTTAAGAAGGCAAGTTGCCCATTAAAGGTGACAGGTGAATACATTTTAAAAGATAGTTGACCAGCCCGTTGTAGCCTCTATTAAGTGTACTCAAGGCACATGGATGGCAAAGACCAGCCCAAGTTCAAGCATGCTTACAGCTGTTCCAACTAAAAATAACATGCATGACTGTCTCTCTTGGGGAATCTCTCATTTCCAAAGAATGTACCTACATAAACACCATGCATAGCCTAAATGCATCATTTGGGAATGAGGCTTCCCCAGATTTGCCTGTTTGCCCAAAAGTGAACTCCTCTTCTAACCTGTGATCCTACTGACCATACTGTCCCATCAATGAGAATGAAAGGAAAGAAATCAGAGAAGAGTCTAGAAGAGAGGGAGCTAAGCCAAACACGTTTGTGAATAACTAAGGGAAAGAGAGTTCAAAGACCAATGACCTTGGTTAAGAAATTTGTGGAGAAATTCCTGAACAAAACAGCCATTTCTTACCATCCCGCCCTTCAAAACATTTCCTTTAAGTTTACAAATACAGTGAAAAAGGTTTCTGATGAGATAAAGTTTCATAAAACAGATTCTGAACATAAAGTGCTAACACTGGGCCTGACCCAGATGGAGCACCGAATGCATGCTGATTATTTTCATTGCCATTATTATTGTGACACCTTGAACCTCTTCTGCTTCATAATGGGAAAAATGGAAACCCAGTCAAGGCCCATATTTTAATTGGAAGTTAACTCCGTTTTAAGAAATAGATTTCCTACCCCGATACACAATCCAGATGTTGAACAATGACCCTAGAGAGTTTCAAAGGCTCTGAGCTTTACACTGGGTTATGGAAGAGTACAGAAAAGGACTTTCTTCTCCTAGGTGGGTGCCTCCACTAGGCAATCGGTAATGAGGTGGGACAAATGGAAACACCCTAATGCATTTCATCTTACCTGTCAAGGGCAAAGCTGAGAACTAACAACACCAACAAAAACAAGGCTCTGTTTATCCGAAGGGTTGTCACAAGCCCATGGACATTACTTATAGAGGAATACTTCATGTGACCAGTTGGTAACAATATTTTTATTTACCTTAGTCTCTTTCACAAGCTTGAATGTTTGGTTTCTAAGCCAACAGCAAACCAAAGCAGTAAACTGAGGAGAAAGAAGAGTTTCAGCCAACAGACTGAGAACAAAGAAAGAGAAAACTATTTTTTATATTGACCCAAGAGTTCAAAAATGCGTATGGAACCATTTAATTGGGGTTGGGGGGTGGGGAGAGGATAGTTTTATAATAAGAAGACCATGCAAGTATTCCCACACCATCCTTGGTGGTCTGCAAAGTGATTTCATATGGATTTATGTCAACACCAGCACAGTGAGGTAAGAAGGACCGTATACCTCAGAGGCATCTGGAGATCTGTCAGAGTTCCATGTCGGGGGTCGGAGCCCAGATTTGAACAGGACCATTTGACTCTGAGATCATTGTGTTGTCCACCACCTAGTCAACCTCCACACCAGACAAGGCTAGTCCGCAGCTCAGGGCACTCAAGACAGAATAGCCAATTATCTCTAACGTTACATTTCAGGAAGATTTCTGTCAAAAATAAATAAAATTGAAAGTGTAGCCCTTCAGAGTAACTTGCTCCTAAGTTGGCCAGTATTTTCCAGACCTATCACGGCAAAGTGCCTTCACTAGATAGAATCCTGGAAGTAGAAACCATCCCCAAAGAGCCATGCTATGTAACCACAATCCTTAGTTTCTAAAGATTCTAAAGAACCCTAATGCTTCGAAGATCCTTCTTCTGATTTCTTACATGGGTTTGATAAAATTAATGGGAAACACACGTTTAAATCCACACATGAGTGACGACACAGAAAGGGACCCCCTAAATGTAGCCCTCCCTTTTCTCCACAGAATGACCTTTGAAAACCTGTGGTGGGGGGTGTCTTGTAGCTTTCCAAGAGAGCCATTTTCTGGCATGGGGAGGTGGAAGATTAGCTTGTTCGGGCATCACCCAAAAGCAAGGTTTCTCAGAACACGAGAGGCCAGGAAGGACTGAATCTTTCCAGTCGAGGGTGAACCAACCAGATTTTTTTTTTTTTAATTTTCCCGTTTGTGTGCGTGTGTGTGCGCATGTTTGTTTGTTTTTTTGTTGTTGGGTTTTTTTGTTTGTTTGTTTGTTTGTTTTTCCCTTCTTGTTTCCCTGTCTCTCATTGTCCCTCCCTGGCTGTGTCCCGCTCTGTTCCACGTGCTGTCTCTCCCCCCACCGACAGGTGAGAAGCCCCACCAATGCAGCATCTGTTGGCGCTCCTTCTCCTTAAAAGATTACCTTATCAAGCACATGGTGACACACACGGGAGTGAGGGCGTACCAGTGTAGCATCTGCAACAAGCGCTTCACCCAGAAGAGCTCTCTCAACGTGCACATGCGCCTCCATCGCGGGGAGAAGTCCTACGAGTGCTACATCTGCAAAAAGAAGTTCTCCCACAAGACCCTTCTGGAGCGGCACGTGGCCCTGCACAGTGCCAGCAACGGGACCCCTCCCGCGGGGACACCGCCCGGCGCCCGCGCTGGCCCCCCGGGGGTGGTGGCCTGCACGGAGGGGACCACGTACGTCTGCTCCGTCTGTCCCGCCAAGTTTGACCAAATCGAGCAGTTCAACGACCACATGAGGATGCACGTGTCTGACGGATAAGTAGTACCTTTCTCTCTTTCTTACGAACAAAACGACAGAAAACAAAAAAAAAGCTATGGCACTAGAATTTAAGAAATGTTTTGGTTTCGTTTTTACTTTCTGTTTTTGTTTTCGTTTCGTTTCATTTTGTACTACATGAAGAACTGTTTTTGCCTGCTGGTACATTACATTTCCGGAGGCTCGGGTGAATGAGAGTTTTCCCAGCCTCCCTCGGATGGTGGCCTTAAGGCCTGGTAGTGCTTCAGGAGGTCCACTGGTTGGATCTCTCGCTACTGGCCTCTAAATACAACCCTTCTTTACAAAAAAAAAAAAAAAACAAAAAAAAAAAAACAAAAAAACAAAACAAAAAACAGAAAACAAAAAAAAAATCTTTAAAAAAAGTTAAAAATTTTTTTTCACTTGTGAAGAGCACTACAAAAATATATAACAAAATCTAAAAGGCCTACTGTCTTTAAGTACACCGCTTGCAGTGTTTCAGTGGACATTTTCGCAATTCTGGCCGCTTGGACTTCACAGTAACCAGTTAAAACTGTGGAATATCCCTTCTGGTTGAAAACCCAGAGGAAAGGCCCTGCTGTTTTCCACCTACCACATTGTCTGATTTCATAAAAGGGCTGAGGGGGGTGGTTGGGAAGGGCAGTGGGTCTGGTGGTGTGGGGAAGGCAAGTGGCAGGCTTCTCCCCCAGATTCTGCCCGCGTCCATGCACCCCGGCCCACCTCCTCCATGTCCCCCCTTTCGGCAGAAGCCAGGAAGACTTGGACAAGCATCAAGCAACAGTGGCTATCGTATTTATTCAGTGTCTTCGCTGAGCCACAGCCTCAGCACAATCAAGAGGGACTTTCATGAAAGGCAGGAATGCAGATAAAACAAAGATATCAGAGGTTTGCACCTATGTTTCTAGGTACAAGAGAAGGATTATTTCCCACAATCTTTGCAAAAAACAAAAACAAAAAAAAAGTGTCAGGATATATTCTTGTGGAAGAGAAAAAGAAAGAGAAATGGAGGGTGGGGGGATAATAAAAAGTTCTTGAGGCTTTTTTAATTCAAATTTTATAGAGGGGCAAAAGTGACGTTTACCAGATAGAATGCTGATTTTTTTAATATATTTACAACAGTATTTGTGTAAAAAAAAAACAAAAAAAAAGTGAGATTGTTAAAAGTAATTTTCTTTTTCATTTTGGTTTTGCATACACTGCCACCAATCCCTTCTCTTTTATTTTATTTCACACACATATATATATTTTTTGGTAAGTCAAGACTGTTAAGGTTAGCGATACTGCTTCCAGATAGAAAGAATCAAAGGCAATTAAAGTTATATTTGAAAGAGAGGAAGGATATTTTCTTCATATTTTTTTTAATTTTTTCTTAATTTTTATTATTTTAAGTATTGCCTGGGTTGATGAGGGCCCCTGTGGCCAGCCCATCCCTGCTGTAATTTGAACTGCTGCTTTGTATTTTGATATGTAGTTCTTTGACTTTTAGCAAGCTTAAGTTGCTCCACTGACTTTTTTTTTTTTTTTTTTTTTTTCAACTGATCCATCTAGAATTCTGTTCTTTTTCCTGGGAGGACTTTATCTTTCAGAAACAGATTTCTTGCTTCTCTAAAAGTTCATTGAGGTCTTATGATTCTAGACTTTCTCTTGACTTGACTTCTTTTCTTGAATGAAACACTAGTAGTCTAGAGGTCGTGACAAATGGGTTTTCCTTTCGTGGGCAGCCAGGAGGAAGAGCTCATGCCTCCTCACAGCTGCAGAGAGCAGAAGCCTGGTATAGATCAGGATGCCTTGATGCCAAAATTACTTTCTTCCTTTCAAATACCACCTTCTGGCTACTGCCACCATGGTTGAGAGGGCTAAGTAGGATGATCCTCCTTTAGAGGATATATTAACCCTTGCTTTCTGGAAAGGTTTTAAGGAAATTAACAAAAATTTCTCGGATACCAACATCCATCATTCAGAAGGCCACCAGTTCATTGCATCATCCTAGATGCCACTCTCTCTTCCTAGTTGGGATTTCTCTCCTCGGTCCTAATCAAAGTATTGTAACAGGGATTTTTCCATTCTAGACAGTGTCCAGAAGGGACTGCAACTCAAATATGAGAATTCTTAAACCTCACAAAAACTCCAAAGGTGATTTTATTGCTGGGCATGGATTAATACTCTTAAGGGGGAAAAGGAAACCTTTAAACAAAGCAGAAACACCAAACTGTAATTTTAAAAAAGAAGCAAAGACAGAATTTTAATTTCAAAATTACTGTGCATTTTAATTTTTCTGTCAGCAACTTATTTGCAAAAACTGTGCAACAAATGAGGAGAAATCTTCCAAGGGAAGCAACTCGATAGTGACTAAATTGGTTTTACTCATATATTTGAGATACTGGTTAACTTGGATCTTTTCCACAAGTTCTTGGTGATGTTTGGTAGGGTTAGTGCAACTAGAGTGCATGTGGGTTTTATCTGGTCCTCTGATCCTTAATTCCGTAAATATTTTGCCAGCAGTTTAATGTAGACTTGGATGGTTAACTGATTATTGGGTATCGCTCATTGTGATTTCTAAGAGGAGTCCTATCAAGATCTATGTGTCCAAAATTGACTTGTTTTAAAAGTTAGTGGGAACCAGCTTCAAAATTAAGAAAAGTCCATTTTTCTCTTCCTAATTCTGCTTTTTAAAATAGCAGTGTTGTTAGGACTTTACTGTTTCCACTTACTACCAACAGAGGGAGCATTAGTTAATTAACCATGTCCTGGGACTGTTTTGGTATCTTGAAAGACAAGTCATTCAACCCATGATATAAAAAAGAAAAAATTGACATTAAGGAAAAAAGTTGTTTAATATAGAGGAAAAATGGAATAAAGTCCCTCAGCATATATTACAAATGAAGAAGGCCAAAAGCCACTTTAAAATATTTTCGAATTTTTGATGGTAGCTGACTTAAGATTGTGTCCTTATCCCAGCCTTCACAAAGTAAGACAGAATTTACAGTACCTCTAGAAAAGCTGATCTTGGCTGCCATTTGGGGCTGAATTTTGGTATCTGCTTCTCAAATCAGAGGGAGATCTATTTGCCTTAATGTTGATTTGCCATGTGAAAAGTGAAGCAATTGGGTTAAAATCAAATCCACATTTTGTTATAGAACATATAGAGGAAAAAAATTCCAGTTGGGTTTGAAACACTAATATTCATCCTTTCCCTTCAAATGAAATATCTCTTTTTTAAAAATGTTGGAGAACTCCCAGAGAATTCTTGGTGAGGTGATGCAATCTTTATAACCACATGGATTCTCCAGGTTTGCATAGCAGTAGACTTTGTCTTACCGTATGTCTATTCCTCTCAAACATTCATAGTCTAAAATAGTTGATAGACTTGTTCTCTGGAGAGAGGGAGCAGTTAGACTGCAGTGAAACGTCTAATCTGGGGAGCAGTGAACTTGCTGTGGGGTCATTACTGTATTTCTGACCTCCTGAAAGGGTGACTTTCCCAACTGATATAAACCAGACTAGACCTATTTCAGAAGGATAGAGATGCTTTTAGATTGCCAATCCTTACTTTTAAATTCAATAATTACCAACATTTTAGGAAATGGGGAAACATATTTTGCTTCAAGAATAGAGGATGAACATGAATCCTTTTATTTTTTAGTTTCAAATCCAACAATCTTCTTACATTTAGAACTTCATGCTAGGATGCTATGAGAGTGCTAAAAAAAATTTTTTTTCAGTAGTCAGGGGAAAAAATAGATAAAATGGAAGCAAATGTTCCAGATTTAAGACCTCTTAAGATGAATACAGGGAACAAGAACTGGTTTGGAAAAGAACCTTTTTTTTTTTTTTTTTAGTAATTTATGATTTAAAAGTAGGTTAGCTGAACAAGAGAAAGGAAAAAAAGTCAAAGGGGAATATTTGTGTCAACTCATTTAGATACAGTTTATGAAAAATAAAATTTCCCAGCTCTGAAAACATTGGTAGCATCTTAGCGTGGTAGGCAACTTTCCCCCTATTACTACAATAAATGCCAATATTTGTACCAAAAAAAAAAAAACCCCAAGTGGCAAAATATGGCCCCCAAAAAGGAAAGAATTGGAACGGATGGATCTGATACAAATCTACATGTGGGAAAAGGTTAAGAAACAAGCCAGGAAAAAATACTTTGAAATGGAAGTCTCAATATCAAAACGGTTTTTACTATATATTTTAATTGAGTTGTAAACTTTAGCTCCTAATAATAGTTTATAGACTTTTTCCTGCCCAAACTCCTAACTCTCTGAAACTGTCTGTGCCATGAGTAGGTGTGACAGATAACTTCCTTCTTGTGTTCCAGCTCTAGTGCATTCCTTCTTCATTGGCATCTTGGAGGTCACAGTAGCTCCCAGGCTTGGAAGAAAAGACTTGGATTTGCTTTGTTGAAAAGTCATGGGTTTTATTTTGTATCACCCCAATATTCTTTAAGGACCAAGAAAACCCTTTGAAACCCATGAACAGTTAGAATTTGTACAGTCTGATAGGAGAAGAAAAAAAATTTCCTTTGGCTATGTGTGTTTCAAGTAAGTCCTAATGCCTTGACCTACGTGTACCTCCATCATACAAGCATACCAACAGTGTGTGCCCAGCCCTTACATACCCCAAATCTGTTTTCCCTCAGCAGTACCCTCAAATGAGGCATGCTCCTTTTAAAATCCCTCAGGTCCCCAACAGAACATAATAAAGGTTCATGTTGCTTCCTAGATGTGCTTCCTCCGTAATGCTCCCAACACCTGTTGCCTTTAGGAAAGGGAGCAGTGAGCTAGATCTGGCCAGGATTCATACTCATCATGCCCATTCAGGAGCCTTCCTCTGTTGTTATGGAAGATGTTACTTAATTAGCTGAGGCTGGGAGAAGAGGGTATGTGATTCTGCGGAGAAGGTATCAGATAACCAAATCAGGTCTGCCTCTGCTGTGCAAAAAGAAACAAAACGGAAGGTACAATGTAAGAGCAGACACAACCTGAGATGCCCTTGGGCTTTAGGAGAAGGGAGGGTGCCCTTTCTGCTGCGACCTGACTCTTAAAAGAAA